ATGTAGCTTATTGTATGATAGCTATGATATGCAACAAAAGATCACAACTCTTGAAAAAAAATGCGAAGTCTTTGCCAAAAAAAAAAAAAAAGAAAAAAAAAAGAAAGAGAAACCTTAATTATATTGGATGTGCATTTCTGAAATAATTATCACAAATTATAATAAATACAAATTTGGCTTATTTTTTCTTACCTCTACTGGCTTACTTGTTGGCGACTCGAGATCTACGAGTGTGATGTATAGCTAGTGTAGGTTCTCTCGTCCTCGGTATTTAAATCAAGTATATAACGTCATTTTTTTGTCTAAAAATATCAACTCAGGTCAGATGCATTGACGTTTTAACCATTCTTTTCATTGATAAAAATATCATCATAACGTCATTTCTTTCTAAAAATATTAACTCAGCAAAAGGCACTTGACGTTTTAATTTAAACCTTTCTCTATACATTGATAAAAATACATGTTTCACCATAACGTCATTTTTTTCTTCTAAAAATATTAATTCGGGGCAGAGGGACTTGGCGTTTTAAACCTTTTTCTTCACTGATAAAAATATCACCATAAACGTCATTATTAAAGTATGGCGATATTTTAATCAATGAAGAGAGAGGTTTAAAACGTCAAGCGCCTGTGACTTAGGGTTCATTATCGTTAGTCACAGACAAATGCATTTTCATTCGGACTAATAAAATTGAGGGCTAGTTTAATCCGAATTACCCCCCCCCCCAAAAAAAAAAAAAAAAATCTGGTAAACAAATGTCCATTTCATGTGATTCTCGCTTTACTGGAAAACCCCTAATATATACTTAGCTTCTTTGTCCTGAAGTGTGTATACGGTGTCTTCCCACTTAACCAACATTTTGAAAAAATACAGGTAAATTTATGTAGGCTAAATGGGAATGGGGTGCAACAGAATTTAATTACAGGTAGGCTATAGGGTTCATTCACGAAGGTCTACTCGCTAAATCAACACTATAATTATCACACTTAGTTAAGAGGCCCTCTAAGGGACACAGGTAGCGTTTACCTGTGTTACCTTGATTCAGTCTAAATTTTAAAAATGCATTTATTTTCATATATATATATATATATATATATATATATATATATATATATATATATATATATATATATATATATATATATATATATATATACTAAAACAGTGTTGTTTTTTTATAACTGTAATTCAAGACACTGAACAAGTACTGAACAAGTATTTTTCACATGTTTCATATAATAAATATTTTTATTTTTTAAAAGATTTTTGAATATGTAAAATATTTTAAGTGTTAAACCAACTTAGTCCTTCTCTGATGCCAGACGCTTCTACCAAGGTGTATGGATTTCAGAACTTTTGTTGAAGGCTAATTGGTCATTATACCTATGCAAATACTTTCCCTGTTTTTTACCAAGAGGAGAGAAAAATATTTTCAAATTTGACATGAATTTTTAATACGTGGCTAGCAAAGCCCAAAGCTGGTTCTGCCTATATCCTGGATTTTCAAAAGTAGAGTGATGACTTCTCTTAATATGCATGCAAAATGCAAACAACTGTCTGCGAGATGTGCAGGAATATAGATAATACTATAATTTATAATATAATTTATAATATAAAAACTATAATCTAAATATTGCATAAATAAAGATGGCTTTGGTTCAATCTTTCATATATTTACTATTTTAAAATAACGCCTTTCCATTTTTGGATACAACTCCTTTTCAAGCAGGCCGGTAGTACGAATGTGAGTGGGGGGGGGGGGGGGGTCCCCACCCCTCATTTTGGGAGAATAGTCTTGCTATAGTTTAAATATAAAAAATCATTGATTGCTTGGTCCCTTAACATTTTGTTGCAGTATGGTTAAACTCGGGCAAGTCATTGCATTTAAAAAAAGTTTTACCGAAAAATTAGAAAAAGTTTCCCTTCAAGTTTAGGCAGTTTATTTTTTTCGGGGGGGGGGGGGGGGGTTCTTGTTTTTTTGTTTGCTTGTCAATTTTATGGGACCCCCCCCCCACCTTAAAAGCACGGGCTTGTCAAAGACATAATAATGGCCCTTCAAAAGGCATAATAACGCCTTTTTGAAAGGCGTATTAAGAACCCTCTATACACTGCACACTTGAGAGTTCTGATTTTGTGGTATTTTTATGCAGATAGAGTGATCTGCCCTTTGATTAAGAATAAAATGAATTGAAATGTACATTTATTACTTAATTTGCGATCAAATCAAGCATTCATAACACTTTAATAGGCCAAGATGAATAGATAGAACACTTCATGTGCAGGTATTTTGCCCACTTAAATAAAAAACAGTGATTTATGCTCATCAGTACTTCATTGTCTTTGAACATTTTTCCTGGGGGTAAATGCAAGGCACCCTATGCTGAAAATGTAATAGATAAGCTCAATGCTTACATCTTTACACACTGTAATTTTCTCAATGTCCAAAAAATATTTTCCTCTAGTGTATAGAGGGTCCTTAATGCCTTTTAAAAAGGCGTAATAACGCCTTTTGAAAGGCGTTATTACGCCTTTTTAAAAAGGCGTAATAACGCCTTTTAGAAAGGCGTAATAACGCCTTTTGGAAAGGCGTAATAACGCCTTTTGGAAAGGCGTAATAACGCCTTTTTTCGCGTTATAACGCCTTTTGGAAAGGCGTAATTACGCCTTTTTCCGCGTTATAACGCCTTTTCAAAAGGCGTTATTACGCCTTTTTTCGCGTTATAACGCCTTTCGAAAAGGCGTTATAACGCCTTTTATTTTTTTTTTTTACCGTAGTTTGATCCTAATAGGCTTTCGTAATATTAAACATGGAGAACTTAGTTTTTCACGACTGAAATACACATTAGCATTGTTATTTTTTTACATTTTCTGCACTTTATGTCCCATGTCATCAGCACGATTTTTTTTCACTATCACTATCCCACTTGCAACCGCTCTGATGAGGAGTCTGTGTAGGACATGAGGTATATGGTCCCATTTTGGACGCTTGGACGAATTCAGAACATAAGGATTTCTTTTAAAATTCATTTCATTTTCAAAGTGAGCTGATCTAATCAGCGCCATTGCCATTATGCGGTTCGTTGAATTCATATTCAAAATTCATAGTTAAGAGATTTATTTTTAAATTATTGAATATTAAACTTCTTGGTAATTTTTTTTTTTTACCAAAATTTAAATTTCTTTGATATTTGAGTTTTACCATGCAGAATAAATTTGATTTTAAAATATGAGTTATTGTTATATTTAATGTACTTAGAGTAAATACTTTGAAACCTTTAGTTAAAAATGGAAAATAAATAAAAAACACCATAAAAAATTTAATTCTTTTAATAGGATTTATTGAAAAAAGATTTAATAGGATATATTGAGATGAAAAATGACATAAAGGAGTTTTTTTGTTTTTGTTTTTTTTTGTTTTGTTTTTTGGTCTAAATGCAGGTGGTTTATTATGATAATATTTACAGTTGATGCTTTGAAACACTGATTAAAAATGAATAGAAATAAAAATTATTTAATACCATAAAAAATTAATGTATTTAATAGGATTTATTGAGAAAAATTTAATAAGATATATTGAAAAGAAGACCGAGATGATTTTTTCTTTTCATTGAAATTAACGAAGTTTATTATAATATTTAGGATAAATGCTTTGAAAACGTAAGTAAAAAATAAATTAAATAGAAAATAAATATTTAACACCTTGATATATCTAATTCATTTCATAGGATATATTGATATATTTTTCCATATAAACACAGTCATACTGTATAAATGCAGGTAGTTTATTCATACAGGTAAATTCTATCTGTACCCCTTAATTGAGTGTGATAATTATACTGTTGTTTTAGCGAGTAGGCATTCGGGGAACACACCGGCTATAGTCTGTTTTAAATATACGTTGAATGCAACATTTGTAGAATAATATATGTTTTTAATAATTCCTATAATAATTTGTAAAAATATTTTTTTTAACAATAATGAATATTTTCTTATTATAAAAATTAAATAATTAAAAAAAGATATTGTCGACATTATGTTAATATTTTCTTCTATTCCTAAAACTTTGTTGTGCTGGTTATCTATCCAGATTCCAAATAAGCATACCAAGCATTTTATTGATTAGAGAAACACTGCTGCAGACATGAATCGCACTTAGTATACAAGGTTTATTACACCTGGGAATTAATGTTACAGCTGTTGCAGAAAAAATGTATAACCTGCATAGGTGGATAAGTGCATTTTCACTATACATCTCCAATCAATAGAGCCCTACCCTAAAACCAAAACCCCTAACCGAGGGGCCATGAATTTCACTATTCTGGAAAAGACCATTGCTCATCATGACCATGTGCTAAATATGTTTGCCAATTACTCAGGGGCAGAGAGGAAGATTTTCAAAGAAATAATATATTTTTACTATACATGTATATTCAATAGAGCCCCACCCTAACACCCTCTGACCCAAGGGCAATGAATTTCCAAATTTTGGAAGAGGCACCTTTGCTCATCAAAGCTTCTCAATTATACTATGGGAGTGAAGATTTTTAAAGAGTGTATGCAATTTCACTATATAATCAATAGTTTCACTCCGACTCCAGAAGCCCTGACCCTGGGGCCATGAATTTCACAATTTTGGCAAAGAACGCATTTTATGTTATAATCTTGCCAACAATTTGACTGCTTGATGTCCATTAGATAAGATGTATGAACATTGCATTGATTTTGATGGTTTTGGTCCCATCCCTCTAGCCCCAGAGAGGCAGGGACCACGAAATTTATAATTTATGTCCCCCTTTGCCCATAGATGCTCTATCAGAATTGGTTGAAATTGGTTCAGGGGTTTATGAGAAGAACCTGAAAATGTTCAAATTAAAGTTTACAACCCACAAATGATGGACCTAAAACACAAAGGTAATCGTCCTTGCAATAAAGATGAAATGGAGTTAGAGCTTTCCAATTCATAGTCAAATATATAGGAGATAAAAAAGGAACAACAGTCTAAAGAAAGGCAAGTTTATTCTTGTTCATGACTACAGACAATTAAATTAAAAGATGGTTACCGGTACCAAAAACCTAAGACAGAATATGATTTAATACTGATTTAAGCAAATTACAAAAATTACTTCAAAAGTATTCTTGATTTAAACAAAAATTAAGTGTAAAGTAAATGCATTAAAGGTCATTTTCTGCCTTGTGCTCATGAAACAATATAAACCCTCACCAGTTCTCTAGTACAAATAATGAACAGTGTTTTGTGCCTTCAAAATATTGCGTATAACATTTTTAACATTGCCATAGTGGCAAAAATTAAATCACAGACAAAATAGATATTGCAAACAGTGGGAAAATAAACATATAACAATTTGAAAAAAAAGGTATCAAAATAGTATGTATCACAAATAAAGAATACAAATGTATACAGTTTTTTTCTACTTGCGCATTTTGCAATGTGGTATGTACTATGAAAATTCGTTAACCTACTAAACTAGAAATAGGAAATTTTAAATTCACTTTAATTCCAAAGATCACAAACTGGGTTAAAGCTGTTATATAGTGAAATAATAGTCCACAACTTTCAATACATGTAACTTGTGAACAATTTTTATACTATATAAGAAAGAAACTATTAGATAATTACCAAATAAGTGATGAGACATGGGAATGTACATACAAAACATAGCAGTGGCATTGCTTTTGTTGGATATCACAGTTAAGCTTATACACATGTATATAGGAGAGACATAGCAAAATAAATGCTTTGAATTTTATATACAATTACAGCAAGCAATACACTACAAATTTATAAAAATAAATATCTGTGCAAAAATACTCTCTAAAATAAATAAAAGGCTTTCTACACCATACAAAAATAATTATATTATTATCTTGTTTGCAATTCCTTTTACCGTAATAATGCATTAGTCTACAGCATTTTCACTTCATGTGTACTTACATGAAAATTTTCCAGTATTAACTTTTATCAAGCTTATAAATATCTATATATAACTATATACTGAATGGGACAATTAATTAAACATTCATGTAATATTTATTTCTTTTTATTGCATCCCTGCACTAAATTGAGACAAGTTACTGTAAGGATAATATAGTCAATTTGATTATAGTAAATAAAGCAAATTCATACATGGATTGTGAGAAAAAGTCCTTCTTTGTACATATACATTAAATTCTATTTGTAATCAACATATACAAAAACACTACTTTACTAATTAAACCAGTTGGAAATATGAAAGACTTGAAACAGCTTTTCAAAATGCATGATCAGCAACCAATAAAAAGTCATATGACAAATGTCCAGCAACCAATCAAAAAAATGATGACAAATGCATGCTGGTCTGACTTTAATCTTAAAATGAAAAATATAAAAATGAGTGACATTTGGTTCAGCTGCTTGTCCATCACTCTAATAAATGCAAAAAAGGTCATCAATAATGTAACATAACAAATACTATAATTATATACATTATATCAAGCATGAGCTCTACATAAAATCTTTTCATCTACACTTAGCATGACCCTGTTTATCCAATATTGGACATTTTAACTTCCATCTAGCAATTACTAAACTTGTCTATAATAAAATACATAACAAATACAATAAATAGAGATACATTGACACCTGCTTGTAACGAAGTAATTTTCATCTTGTGCCACAAAATATTATAATAGTAATTAATTGGATGAATGTTTGATAACCATGTGCAGATTAGTTGTAATTGGTGGTCTATTTGATATACTGGAGTTTGAAGTCATTGTCAAGTGCATATAGTGATGAGAGCAACAAATTAACTACAGATGTATTATTCAGTTTAAATATTCAAGAATTGAAATTTCACTCATTTATCTTTAATCTTTAAAAAATCTTTTATCTTGAAAAACATTCATCCTGAGAAGAAAGATGTAGATGTAACGGCTGATTTGATTGGTCAATCAGTTGTCCAATTGACAGAGACAGGCCACGCCCCTGTTGATCCAGTGAGATTCTGGTTGGTCAGATGGGAGGAGGATGGACATAACAAAGTTGGTTGAGTGTCCAGTGGTGGACAGGGTACCCCTTCTGGAGCTGGTCTTATACACTGAAAGATAAATACAGCAGTATTATAGCTATGGCTCGCACCAATAAAAAAAAAACTGAAATAGAACCATCTGATCACATTAATAGACTAACCTGGACATGCGTAGGATGGGTGATCCTCAAACTTTGATTTCTCGCCAGGTTTAAGCATTATCTGTAGAATGTGTTAAAGAAGATCCATGAGGGACATTTGGTTTAAATAAAAGATAAGGGTAACTGCTTACACATGACATCTACCAGTAAATGTTACTTTAAAAACTGCTTCCCCAATAGCTGAATTTGCTGTTATGTGACATAAATCTTGACAAAAACCTCAAACTGTAACATGACTCTAAAATGAGGTCACTCTGACCTATTTTTTTCTAAAATGAGATCACTCTGACCTATTTTTTCTAAAATGAAGTCACTCTAAGCTATTTTTTTTTATTCTTACACATCTTCCTCCAAAGCCACTTCAATTGACAACATTAAATGATTCTGGCACAGTCACATACATTGCCATTTTACTTAAATTGAGATGAAGTTAAAGTGACCAACTTTAACTGGATTATAACATACAATGCAACTATTGAAACACAAATCACTCAAGAGATATTTGTGGATTAGCATTACCCACTTTTATGTTGGTACTTGATAAACAATAAAAAGGATACAATAGGCAGTAAGTCGTATAGAACTTTGGGCAAGGACTCCTCAAGTTTCTTCTTTTTACGGCACCATCGTGCTCCTTCCAAATACAGCCCTCTGACGTAAGCTCCATTAGCCTGTAGTTGATGAAAATATATAAAATGTCAACACATTTGAAACTTACATCTGAATGTATGTATCAAATGCAGATAAACTGTCACAATTTCAAACTTAAAAATATTAATCGCAAAAGTATGATGTATAACTTTACTAGGGATCCAGTTTAATTTACAGTATTCTTCAAAGATGCATAGTTTTAAAAAGAGGGCAAAAAAGGGCAGTGTGCCTGTAGCCCTACCCTATATAACATTAAACTTGAGCTATTATAATAGAATATTGGTTTAAGTTTTGTGTTATCTTTGTGCAATACAACAAAAGCAGTGAGCTGTACAACATTTGTTTTTAAGCAAAATTTTAAGGATATTAAACAAGAAGTCTGTGAGCCAATGCTCACTAATAATACCCCCGCTCTGATGTGAATACACAAGTTCGGTTATGGACAAACACAGTGATAATCAGGAAATTGAAATCGGATTTGTAAAAACTGAATCCCAACATATGGCATGCCTAAACAAAGATTGTGCTAAAATTTCAAGCATCTGCGATGAGTAGTTGCTGAGAAAACTACAACTAAAATTTGCTACGTATGGTACGGACAGACGCATGGATAAACAGGAACTTGACATCGGATTTGTTCCAAAAATGAATCCCATTATATGGCAAGGCTTAACAAAGATTGTGCTAAAATTTCAAGCATCTGCAATGAGTAGTTGCTGAGAAAACTACGACCAAAATTTGTTATGTATAATACAGACAGACGCATGGATAAACAGGAAGTTAACATCGGATTTGTACAAAAATGAATCCCACCATATGGCATGCCTAAACAAAGAGTGTGTTAAAATTTCAAGCATCTGCAATGAGTAGTTGCTGAGAAAACTACGACCAAAATTTGTTATGTATAATACAGACAGACGCACGGATAAACAGGAAGTTAACATCGGATTTGTACAAAAATGAATCCCACCATATGGCATGCCTAAAGAAAGATTGTGTTAAAATTTAAAGCATCTGCGATGAGTAGTTGCTGAGAAAATTGCGACCAAAGTTTGTTATGTGTGGTACGGACAGACGCACTGATAAACAGGAAGTTGACATCGGATTCATACAAAAATAAATCCCAACATATGGCATGCCTAAAGAAAGATTGTGCTAAAATTTCAAGCATCTGCGATGAGTAGTTGCTGAGAAAATTGCGACCAAAGTTTGTTATGTGTGGTACGGACAGACGCACGGATAAACAGGAAGTTGACATCGGATTCGTACAAAAATGAATCCCACCATATGGCATGCCTAAAGAAAGATTGTGCTAAAATTTCAAGCATCTGCCATGAGTAGTTGCTGAGAAAACCACGACCAAAATTTTTTATGTATGGAACGGACAGACGCACGGATAAACAGGAAGTTGACATCGGATTCGTACAAAAATGAATCCCACCATATGGCATGCCTAAAGAAAGATTGTGCTAAAATTTCAAGCATCTGCGATGAGTAGTTGCTGAGAAAACCATGACCAAAATTTTTTATGTATGGAACGGACAGACGCACGGATAAACAGGAAGTTGACATCGGATTCGTACAAAAATGAATCCCACCATATGGCATGCCTAAACAAAGATTGTGCTAAAATTTCAAGCATCTGCAATGAGTAGTTCCTGAGAGAACTGTGACCAAAATTTGTTACGGACAGACAGACAGACAGACACACAAGGGTAAAACAGTATACCCCCCTCTCCTTCGGAGCGGGGGTATAATAAGTGTTCAATATTTTACTTGCATGTGAAACATTATATTAAAGTCATATATACATATCCGGAATGCAAAATGTCACTTAAATATATATGATATACATGAATGTGATGAATTAATTATCCCCATATTCAAATACCATTTCTAAGATAAATACACGCATAATATAAACTTTTAAAATCCCACATCCAGGTAACCAATACTATATTGTAACATAATTCCATCCACTTTTGGGGTAGAAAGATTATCATACCATATGAAAACTTCAATGCATGGGTTTGTAACAAGGGATAAAGGTCTGAGGGAAGGTAGAGCATTGAACATTTTCTCTGGAGCCATAATTAATTCAGCTCAGGTGAGCACAGAAAATGAAATTTTATGTCAAGAAAAGAAGGAGCATCTGTGAATGAAGTATTATTGTAAATTCCAAATTAAAATGAATATTAAAAAATAAATGTAAATGTAACGTGTGCATGAGCCTTGCTTCAGCAGTGACAACTATAAGCGATGTCTGCGTATCTAACCCTGGGCACTCCTCTCTTCATTTGAAGTTGCTTGTAAAAATAGTTTAAAGTGCATGATGAAGATTTCTTTTGAATGGTTCATATACTGTATAAAATGTTTATTAGTACAGAAATTTCTTTTGGTATGCAGTCTGAAAAACAATTTATTATTTGTAATGATGGCTGAACTTAGTCTTTTGATCCATTCAAAAACTGTACATAATTTCATTTTCTATTAAATCACATTAGCTAACATCAAATTTAAAAATAAGGGTGATTAATGTGGGAAGGATTAATGGCTTAGGGTCTTTAGACTCTTTGTTGTGTTATAAAATTTCCAAAAATGAATCAGGGCCTTGTTAGTAAACTGGTGTGATTATAAAAATCATAATTAATGGCAAAATATTAGAAAAGCAGAACTTGATTCATAAAAACATTTGCTTTATACCGTTGCCCCAAAGCCTTGGGTCTGCTGTTTAAATAAAACAAATTTCACCTTGCATTTTCAAACATTAAAGCACCTTAAAGTTTATTAAGTTAATACATCACATAACAATGTTAATACTATGATACTTTAAAATAAAATATTTGACATTTTTAGCTGCAAGAAAATCTGGAGACAAAATAAATGTACTATTTAATTAAAACAATAGCAGTAGTATGAAGATATATGATTTTTCTTTTATATTGGAATTAAATAAAGATCATTTAGACATATTTTTTAGAATTACATTCTAATCCAAAACAAAGTTGGAAGATCCAAGCATGATAAGTTTATATCAATTCCAGATGTATCACTATCTGAATGATTCCAGATTAACACATTGATTTTATCAAAAAGTTTCATGTGGACCTCATAGCAGAGAAAAAAGATCCACCCTGATATCAATTTATTGAATTTTAATGTATATATAACAGTACTTACCGGTCTGCTAGCCATTGATTTCTCATATTCAGTCACTTGATATTCAAAGCCCAGGTAATCAATGGGGATTTTGTATTTTCTGGCATAGTTCTGCATCACACCAGTCAAAAAGGACTGAGTGAAATAGAAACCCGAGATCCAGAATACTGATGGGGTACCCCCATAGATCCATTCCTGAAATAACAAGATCACATATTGTGTCGATTTCTAGGGATCCATTTTTAATGTCAGAGTAAATTTGGTCCAAAATGCGGAATAAAAAATCAGACCATTGAATATCTATAATGATCATTAAAGTATGTGGAACCCAAACTTTCAACTTTTACTTTTCTATTTGAAATGAATGCTAATGAAGTATTGGAAACAAAGACCTATCAGGATATTACATTTTAAAATCTAATATTAAGTAGATTTTTCACCCTAAGCTGAAAATTTATATTTCATTTCAGCCACTGTCGTGCTCATCTTTCCTAAACCAAATTCTTACATAACTGGCTTCACTTACTTTCATGTGGGCAAAAGACAAAATTTAAAATCTCACTAAAAAATGTATACAATGGAAATATAAGAACAATTGAACAAACACCAAAAAACAGAATGCCATTTAGATTTAAATCTTGGGGACATCAACGTACCTTGAAGAATGCTAGCCTGGCCAGTAAATCAGTGATGTAACTCCCTAGAGGTTTCAGGGAGGGATAAGACTTGGCTTGCCACATTGCAGGAACCTTTTCAATGAAAATTATTTGATTTATACATAGAGAATCAGAAGTTCAAATAAAACAAATCAATCATTATTATTTCATGTGGTTATTCTTACAATCAAACATTTTTTCTTCCTTTTTGAAATGATTTACATTATCTTAATTCTTACAGCCCCCTTTCCATTATTTTCTTACCTTCCCCACCATCATACTATCAAACACATCCTCCAGTTCAGATGACATAAGGACCACTCCTTTGATGGCCTTCCTAATGTCCTGCAGGCTCTGACGAACCACCTGGGTCAACCTATTGAACCGAATCAACTCCTGGTTCAGGACTGTGTTCATAGACTCTTCATATCTTACTGGGAACTTGTTCTGTATTAAAGGAAGACAAAAAATAATACAAAACAAAATCTGGCACATTATTTAACATGGTTTGTACTTTAACATTTAACTTTCTTTCTGTGATTTTGGATCACTTAGTGTGCACAGGTTAACTATACCTAAAAATACTCATTCAACTGGACAAAGCTATGGCAAGTCATTACAAGGCTGCCAAGACTCATCCATAGCTGGCTCACTATAGGTAGGCATTAATGACCCCTTTTCTCAACAAAAAACCAGTTTTCAGAATCTTGTTGACTGCTAATTCAAAGAATTTCTTTGACCTTGTCCCACTCACCTCTGAATCAATTGGGGTCATACAGTTGTTAAAAACAGTATTGAAGTTAATTCGGAAACATTTTTTACCTATATAATTTTTACCTTGATCTCCGACACCTAAGTAGAGTCCTTGTTAATTCTGGAGAGTTACAAGAGCTCACACAGAATTAAACTTATCATCTGGAAACCATATTATGCAATATATAAATTTGTAACCTTGACCTTTTGACCTAAAAATTGATCAGGGTCTCTTTTTAGTCATAGGTAGTTATGTTTCGAAATTTCTTTGCAAAAGCTTAAGAACTTTTAGAGACATCGGAAATGAATGAAACATTCAGACAGACAGACAAATATACCCAAATTAATATTCCCTGCTTTTATATAGTAATAGTAGGGACAAAAAGGGCCAGAATATTAAATATGCCCCTATTCCAAACCTATTTGACAAACTGAATTCCAATAAATCTATTTATTCCTTATACCTGACACTCCTCCAGATTGAAGTCGGCTGGAATCTTGGTCAGAATATCACTAGCAAGCTCTTCTATCATCTCCTGGGATGATTTCCCTCCTCCACTTGTCTGAAGAGTAAATGAGGGGAGATAATTCAAAATGGATTCTAAAAAAATCCAAACTTCTCACCAAAAACTTAACCGGAGTATAACAGTGTGTCAGATTTCTAAAATTTTGCATTTGTTAATTTAGCAAAGTCAAGAAATCTGGAGATTTATTTTCATTCACAGCATAATATATATATAATTAGTCAAAAGAGCATAATTAATATTTATTTTCTTTTAACTTTCTTTTACATACATATCTTAGAATCTTAAAATTCTTCATCTTTTTAAGATGTAGCACAAGAATATGTTGAATTGTTTTGTGGGTTAGTAATAAAATTCACACATTTTGAGGAATTTGCAAGTTGTGCTTGAATATATGAATTAGTAAATCTGTTATTTTGTATTCTTTGCATTTGATTTATCTAAAAAAATCTTCCCATTTCAAGCAGTTCCATTTGAGTATACAATGCAGTGCAATCAGGCATTAAATATGCAAATATTTTGAAATTAAATGCTCAATATCATTTTTTCTATTATTATTATTATATATTTTTAAGTGACCCTAACATTGTGTTCTTAAATTTTAAAATGTCATTTTTAAATTTTTTAAAAACAAATTTCAAATTTAATAATATTTTTTATAATCTGCAAAAGAAATGTACATTCCTCTTTCTTGACATTTGTATAAGTTGTGGGGAAAAAGAAACACACATTAAGAGAGAAATATGATTTAGTATGATTTAATCCGTTCCACACTCTTTTCACAACAATCTTAATTCTAATTAGACAAGCAACCCCATAAAGCACAAAAATAGACTTATAATACATATACATGTCCATATATGAATTACAAGAGGCCCATTGCCCAAATGCTCACCTGAGTAACATTTCTTCTTTACCCTGCCTTTGAGCAACTTTAGTTTACATAGTATGTATGCTTGTATACTAGTTTGGCCATTTGAATAGTCTTGATGTTCTGTATTAGAAATTTTGGGAGAAAAAATATTTCAAATTCTGAATAAAACTGACCTCCAATATTGGATCAACTTCAGGGTCAAGGTCAATGGGTCAAAAATCTAGTATATTTAGAAAGGTTTTGTTATAAGCACAAGTCAAATATGAACACCCTATCTTCTCTCATTCAAAAGTTATATCTAATGTTAAATTTTTTTTTTGAAAAATAGGTCACACTTTAAGGTCAAAGTCATGGTGTGAAAAATTTCAGTACATTTGGAAAGGTCTTATCTCAGGTAATGTACAGGTAAAATATGAATGAGCCTTATGTTCTCTCATGTAAAGTTATGACCAATGTTAAAAACTTTGACAAGTATTGTAGGTTAATTTTCAAGGTCAAGGTCATGAGGTCAGAAATATAGTACATTTGGAAAGGCCTTGTCACAGGCAATTCACCTGTCAAATATGAACATCCTATCTTCTCTCATTCAAAGATTGCTAATGTAAAAATTTTTGAAAAGCAGGGGACAAAAAAATTACTTATCCATCCACCTTGAAAAATACGGGATGGAGTACATCAAAGAAAAAATTAAATTAATGATGGCCTTAAAAAACTCTGACATACCAGACAAGCATTACAGACAGAATATATGTATAAGCTATACATATGCAAGGCAAACTTTGACCAGAAGAGCTCACTTGAGCTTCCAGCCCAGGTGAGCTAAAAATAAACTTAAGAAAGTACAAATCAACAAGGTGGTGCAAATCCTGAAGAATTAAAAAAAAACAAATAGATCAAACCAAACCACAAGAATAAAATCACCTGATCCTGTATTGACATGCAATTCACCACATCCAAGGAGAGTAGAAGAAAATATTACATGTATATATATCATCAAATCATTTCATATGTATAACACTACTATCACTATCTTCATACAGTAGGTGCTCGTACATTCTATAACATGCATAATACATTTTCTAATTGTTTTTTTTTTCAATGGAATAGAAGAAAAAAAAAAACATGCAAAATGAAGAAAAGTAAGCTACTTCGTTCATTGGCAAGTCTCTCTGTAACAGAAAATGAGGCAATTTTTGGATTTCAGGGAATATTTTTCTCATAATTCTTTCCATGATACAGCTGTGTTTAATCTATCATTGGATGAACAGTTTCTCTAGGAGGGAAATATTCATACCAGGGGTTGAAATATTCCCCTCATCTCCATCATCCAAACTCATTTCCTGCTTCTCCCCCCCCCCCCCCCCCCGAACATATGCACAATTACCATGTGATATAGTTGAATAAAGGAGATGAATTAGGTTGTAATAAATACATAGATTTACATAGCATCTGACAATAAATTCTGCTTAAGTTCCTTCAAATAAAAAAAAAAAAAACACAACTGAAGTGGCAATTAAAAGCATTGTCAGGCAAAACGAGGAAAAGGAGAATTTATAATCATAATTACTGAACTAAGACTGAAACATAATGTTTATGTATGAAAAGGAGACAAATCTGGGAGTTTACCTAGCACAGAAACTAAAGTTCCAGATCCCATAGCTTTCTATTGTGGACTGGAGAAGCACGTTTTAAAAGCAATTGTATTAAATCAAATCTAGAGGCACAACTTTTAAATCTGGCTACTTTTTAATCTGGTTTTCAATCTATTTCCTATAAAAAAATTTCTCTATTTGACAATGTCTATACATAGCTATCACACAATGTTAAATGTTTGTCCAGATAAAACTACTCAACTTCAAACAATGTCTATTACTATAAACCAACATTTAATCACAAGTGAAAAATATGCTCAAGTTTTGCAACCTTGTTTTTTCTAGCAAACATTTCTCTCAATTGATAGCATTGCTTTAATCCTAAACACTTTCTTAAAAACAACTTCCTTAGAATGAAATTTATATGCACTTAATTTATTTCTTTGAAAAAAATTTGATGGCTGATTTCTTTAAAAAGTATATGTAAGAAATACAGTTTTGCTAAATTTCGGAAGCATCAATATAGAACAACATTTAAAACTAAAAGTTAAAAAAGAAATATTACAATTATAATAATGATAATTAGATTATACTCATTTTTTCAGACCCTAGATCTACAAGCAAGCTCTGGTAGTTATACTGACCTGTCTTGGTAATGTCAGGAGAATGCCGTCAAACAGCTGCTGGGTCTCCTGCTGGTCCTTAGAAATGTCTGCATTCTCATGTAAACCAAACACCTTAAACATAGAAACATAGAAATGTCAGCATTCTCATGTAGACCAAACACCTTAAACAGAGAAGCATAGAAATGTCAACATTCTCACGTAGACCAAACACCTTAAATCACAGAAACATAGAAATGTCAGCACTCTAATGAAGACCAAACATCTTAAATCAGAGAAGCATAGAAATGTCAGCATTCTCATGTAGACCAAACACCTTAAACAGAGAAGCATAGAAATGTCAGCATTCTCATGTAGACCAAACACCTTAAACAGAGAAGCATAGAAATGTCAACATTCTCACGTAGACCAAACACCTTAAATCACAGAAACATAGAAATGTCAGCACTCTAATGAAGACCAAACATCTTAAATCAGAGAAGCATAGAAATGTCAGCATTCTCATGTAGACCAAACACCTTAAACAGAGAAGCATAGAAATGTCAGCATTCTCATGTAGACCAAACACCTTAAACAGAGAAACATAGAAATGTCAGCATTCTCATGTAGACCAAACACCTTAAACAGAGAAGCATAGAAATGTCAGCATTCTCATGTAGACCAAACACCTTAAACATAGAAACATAGAAATGTCAGCATTCTCATGTAGACCAAACACCTTAAACAGAGAAGCATAGAAATGTCAACATTCTCACGTAGACCAAACACCTTAAATCACAGAAACATAGAAATGTCAGCACTCTAATGAAGACCAAACATCTTAAATCAGAGAAGCATAGAAATGTCAGCATTCTCATGTAGACCAAACACCTTAAACAGAGAAGCATAGAAATGTCAGCATTCTCATGTAGACCAAACACCTTAAACAGAGAAGCATAGAAATGTCAACATTCTCACGTAGACCAAACACCTTAAATCACAGAAACATAGAAATGTCAGCACTCTAATGAAGACCAAACATCTTAAATCAGAGAAGCATAGAAATGTCAGCATTCTCATGTAGACCAAACACCTTAAACAGAGAAGCATAGAAATGTCAGCATTCTCATGTAGACCAAACACCTTAAACAGAGAAACATAGAAATGTCAGCATTCTCATGTAGACCAAACACCTTAAACAGAGAAGCATAGAAATGTCAGCATTCTCATGTAGACCAAACACCTTAAACAGAGAAACATAGAAATGTCAGCATTCTCATGTAGACCAAACACCTTAAATCAGAGAAACATAGAAATGTCAGCATTCTCATGTAGACCAAACACCTTAAATCAGAGAAGTATAGAAATGTAAAATTCTCATGTAGACCAAACATCTTAAATCACAGAAGAATGTTTATGTAACATTCAATATAACAGAAGTAGAGAAATGTCATAAATGACTATGACACAGAACAAAGTTCATACACCATAAAGAAGCA